GACAAAGTAAATTTGTATTTCTTATGTTTCCATCCTAATGCCTTATATGTGTGCATGGTGTTTATCCGCTATAATCAGTAGTATCTTGAAACACTATTCGTATTTGGTTTTTGTTTTGTCTTGTGAGAAACACAACTTTACAAAAGAAAAATCAAACTCACCATCCAGGGATATGAAACCTCTTCAACAGTTTCTCCACCAAGAATTCTTTTCGTCTCTAAGGTATTACTTTTTGCCTCTGTAAAATCAGAGCACAGAATCAAAGTACTGTAGCTTTCAACTGCAACACGTGTATGTAATACAATGCAATGATTATTATTTGTCGAATATCGTACATAAAACATAGTAATAAAAGGCCGTCTTATGAGCAACGAATATACGAACTTACAGAAGCAATAAATTATGCATAATGACCAGGTTGTAGCCGTCTTATGAGCAACGAACATACGATCTTACAGAAGCAATAAAATATACATAATGACAAGATGTGGGCTGCAGATTTGAATAAATATGAAAAACAAAATACACCAAAATGTTGTTTCTGAGGTATTTTAGTCGTTGTCTATTTCTTTGACTTCAATGGACTGCCCCTGCCTATTTCTTTGGCTTCAGTGAACTGTCCCTGTCTATTTCTTTGGCTTCAGTGAACTGCCCCTGCCTATTTCTTTGGCTTCGGTGAACTACCCATGCCTATTTCTTTGGCTTCAGTGGACTGCCCCTGCCTATTTCTTTGGCTTCAGTGGACTGCCCCTGCCTATTTCTTTGGCTTCAGTGAACTACCCCTGCCTATATCTAGAGAAGGACGATGCTTAGTTTTCGATAGTGAGGCTTTCTTCAAGACCTTCGACCTGAATAACGCTTCAATATAAATATATATATATATATATTTAATTAGTTTTTTTTTCAATAAAGGACAGTAGCGATTTAAAAAAGAAAAACTCACCAATATATAGGTTCCTCACAGTCAAAGGTGCCTATGGAGGAAAAAGATATATTTAGAGAAATCATATTTCTAGAATTTTATATCTTCAACAGATCTCGTCATCGCAGGGATCGAACACCGAATTGTAGCTTTATAAACCCACTGAACCGCTGGGAGATAAAAAAATCTTAACAATTGTTCAGAAGAGCATGACATTATGTGATATTTCTGTGACTTAAAGAAATGTCGCGGCGATTAAACAATATTTAATTTTTAAATGGCTTTTCTTCATTTACGGAATTCTTGCCTGACTTATTTGCCGCTTGGTGGCCAAGCGGTAAGTTTGGAGGCTTATAAAGCTAAGATCTATAGTTCGATCCCTGTAATTGGGACAATAAAGATAGCCCATCATGCTGCTTTGAGGTTAAAAACAAATTAAACAAACTCGCTTCTTTTTCAAAACCTCGTGATATTCGAGATATCACGGTGTTTCACACCGTTCAAGTTGTCAGTCTTTATTTATGATATATCTATTTCAGGCATTATGGGATACATAATGGTGTTTTTTTTTTTGTTCTACTGAAGAAAATTTGGAAATTAGGCACGCGAGTTGACTCTCTGTTTGTTTGAAGTTAAGCACAAAGATATGCAATTGGCTATCGGTGCTGTGCCCTACCACGGGTGTCGAAACCCGATTTTTAGCGTTATGAGTCCTCAGACTTGTCTCTGAGCCACTATGAAGGTGGAGGACACCAATTACTATAATTACTACACGCGAATTGATTTTTGGTTGTAGTTAAGCTCAAAGCTACACAATGGGCTATATTTTCTTGTGTCCTAAGCTACACAATGGGCTATATTTTCTTGTGTCCTAAGCTACACAATGGGCTATCTTTCTTGTGTCCTAAGCTACACAATGGGCTATATTTTCTTGTGTCCTAAGCTACACAATGGGCTATATTTTCTTGTGTCCTAAGCTTCACAATGGGCTATCTTTTCTTGTGTTCTCCAGTATGTGTAATTGTTTCACATTCCAACCGTTCAAAGTGTCATTTTTTAAAGGTCCAGTTATCATTATCACTAGGTATATATATTTTTTAAATGTTTTTATATAGCTGTCTGTGATCAGAAGTTAATATTAAATACTTGACAACTATTTTATCCAAATGGTGGAGTAATGGTATAAAATGACACAAAATGGTCAAAATTGGGAACGGGGGACTAAATGTTCATGAGTAGAGATTCCACTTCCGAAGTTTTTTCTTTGACCCACAGCGAGTGACACAGTGGTATGTCTGCGGACATTGTGTAGCTTTGTGCTTAATAACATACAACAGGTTTATTTTAAATCACGCAGTTGGTTAAATCACGAACGGGATTTTAAATATTTTACTCACTTTCGTTCAGTTTCGTCTTAATCAGAAATCTGACGCCCCAAGTTGGAATTGATTACACATCCAAAATGGAAATTTTTGATCAACGATTAAAGATATTTAAATTATAAGATTAAAAAAGTATTTTCAATGTTGTTGTTGTTGTCATAACATTATCTTAGAGCAAAATGTTGTCAATTTCACGATTTACAAAATGGTAGAAAAAAACTTAATCAAATTACAAGAATGTTTATGAGTCAAACTTAGATACTGTGTAGTAAGTTTGCAAACGTAGATACTGTTTAGTAAGTTTGTCAAACTTAGATACTGTGTAGTAAGTTTGCCAAACTTAGATACTGTTTAGTAAGTTTGCCAAACTTAGATACTGTGTAGTAAGTTTATCAAACTTAGATACTGTTTAGTAGGTTTGTCAAACTTAGATACTGTTTAGTAGGTTTGTCAAACTTAGATACTGTTTAGTACGTTTCTCAAACTTAGATACTGTGTAGTAAGTTTTCCAAACTTAGATACTGTGTAGTAAGTTTGTCATACTTAGATACTGTGTAGTACGTTTGTCAAACTTAGATACTGTGTAGTAAGTTTGTTAAACTTAGATACTGTTTAGTAAGTTTGACCAACTTAGATACTGTTTAGTAGGTTTGTCAAACTTAGATACTGTTTAGTAAGTTTGTTAAACTTAGATATTGTTTAGTAAGTTTGCCAAACTTAGACACTCTTTAGTAGGTTTGTCAAACTTAGATACTGTTTAGTAGGTTTGCTAAACTTATACTGTGTAGTAAGTTTGTCCAACTTAGATACTGTGTAGTAAGTTTGCCAAACTCAGATACTGTGTAGTAAGTTTGTCCAACTTAGATACTGTGTAGTAAGTTTGTTTGAAGTTTCGTGGAATTTGGTTAATTACCGCCACTGTGAGAAGAACAAAAATCAGAGGATATCAGTGACAACCCTCCGGTCCGGAAAATCCCGTATTCTCTTCTTATAAATCCAAGGACTTGAGGAGCTCAATTAGTATACAAGATCCCGAACTGGGAATCCTGACTCAGAAGTTAATAACGTTTTACAATATGTAAGATTACGTATGATGTAACTGAAAATTTTCTTGTAACGTTTTACAGTATGTAAGAAAACGTAACTGACAACTTACCGCTAACGTCAGCTCCTCCTCCAGAACTACACACAAAACGCTCACGAAAGGAAACAAAAACCGATTAAGCATTGTAAAATATAAAACAGATCTATATCTATGATACCTAGTAGCTACGAAAATATGATGGAAATATAGTAGATAAAGAAAACTCGAAACAATGGTCCCTTTTCCTTTTCGGATTAATTCAGGTTGTAATTCAACTATCCTTTATATATAACCACATTATAGGTTAGCCGAGCAAGGTCATTTGTTAAACTGTTCTGGGTCAGCAGGTTTGGAACATCTGTAAAGCTACCTTGTACAGTATTGTTTGCTCTTCATTCTGTATTGTTTAAGGATAGATTGAAAGTAGAACAATGTAAATTAGTTACATCATCTCTCTGTATTATATTGTTTAAATCTACGTGGTGTTCGGAAAATTAGGTTCTTATAGGAAAGTGGTAAGAAAACCCCGGTTGTCATAGTAAAACGTGTAATGTGATCTGTAGGTGTTCGATATAAGGAAAACCCGGTTGTCATAGTAAAACGTGTAATGTGATCTGTAGGTGTTCGATATAAGGAAAACCTGGTTGTCATAGTAAAACATGTAATGTGATCTGTAGGTGTTCGATATAAGGAAAACCCGGTTGTCATAGTAAAACATGTAATGTCATTTGTAGGTGTTCGATATAAGGAAAACCAGGTTGTTATAGTAAAACGTGTAATGTGATCTGTAGGTGTTCGATACGGTTTCCTGATGTGTTGAAGCACATTATTGTAAATTGTCCACCCATACCTCGTGGAAAACAGACAGAATGCTCGACACGATGTGGTGACAAATATCAATGATACGCTTGGAGACGGCTTGAATGGGTAATGAAGAAAACTTTTAATATAAGTTTAACATAACAGCAAGTGTACAACGTTTCGACAAGGTTTTGTCATCATCAGGTACAAATAATTTACCCTGACACAGATATATATATATATATATACAGTATTGAACAAAGAAGTCACATGACCGGAACTGTTGCAAGACTTAGAAGAGGTATCTAGGCCCCCCTGGGTGTTGGTTTTGAGTAGGGTTGTTTTATTCAATTAAGAT